TTGATGCAGCTTCCCAAAGGGAGTACCTTGAAGGTGACCAGAGTGATATTCAATCCGGCAATGAGGTGCATTTTTCTAGGATGAGTTCATGAACTTAACTGTCTGACCTGGTAAGTCTTTCTAAAGATTATTCAGCCTTCAAGTAGGAATTTTACTCTCCAAAGTGTTAAAAGTTATAAATTCCAAAGTCACATTCTTTTTTTGACCTGGGTGGAATACTGCTTGTTTTATTTCAGGCATTTCTGTGGACACAGAGCTGAATACAAAATTTAAGCCAGCATCAAAAAAGAAAACAATTGAGCCAGCATCAATTTCTCAAGGGTTATTAATTCTATTTTCAAACATTTAATAGGAGCCCAGTTGGGGGCAGGTGGAAATGTGTAAAATAGACCTTTAGTAGAACAAAGAAGACTCAGCACACCTTAGAATTCTAATTCAACTAATAAATCAAACTCTCCTTTGAATAAGCTCCCCCTCAGGAATGTGAAGGGGGAATCTGCCCACCATAGCTGGGGTTCCCAAGCTATCATTTGTACATGGTGATTCTTATTTACTGAAGGGTATCATCCCAGATCAGAGAGTTAATACAGCTTCAGGAACCACCACACAATTCCATTTTCACCTGGGTAACTTCGTCACTGCTCTCCCACTCTACCGTCCAGAATGTGACTTAGGAAAAGCCTATTGAGTTTTATTCTTTCCATCACCTTTTTAAAGTGTTAACTTGGGAGATGTTTTTCCCTTGGTCAGAGTACCATTACTCTAGGAAAGAGAGTCATGAATCTCCTTTGAAGATACGTAAACTCTTTTTGTCCAAAAAGCATTAGGGTTAAAAGGAGAACGTCAGAGAGAAGCAGATTCTCACATAGGTGAGTATCTTTCTTTCACCTACGACCCTGGTCTTTTTACTTCCTCAACAATAAAAAATGGTTTACAACTCAGGGAGTAGGAAAAGAGTAAACCTTACATTATTGAAATGCATTTGGGATTGTGAGCAGGGCTCATCTACTCTAAAAAAAAAAAGAAATGCATGTGAAAGTCCAATGTGACTTTCTTGGCATCATTTTTTCTATGACTAGCCAGAAAATAAAAAATAAGCAAACAATCAAAGTTATCATTTACAAATAAGGAAAGGGGGAAGAAAAGGCCAAAATGCTTTTCATAAACAATCCCAATAAATTTCCTATATATTTTTCTATGTTTTTTTCTTTACATGATTGCTCTCCTTCAGCTTTGATAGCCAACAAAGTTGATGAAAAAGTCCTTTTCCATTCCAACAATTTTAAATTCTTGTCATTCCTTCTCAGGTAATCAACACACCAACCATTGAGGAAAATCAACATCAGGCTTACCATTTAGTTCTCCAAGTTCTAGTTCAGGGGAGTTAATATAATACAAATCACAAAGACGCCTAGCATTCTCATAGCCATCTAGTGTGAATCAAAACAAAAAGAAGCATTAAATAAACTTACTTCTGGTTCATGCATTAAGATGGCAACAGTACTGACAAATGAAAACGTCAAACTTTCTACACAGGAAAATATACTTTGATAATTTTAGTTTGGAGAAAGTCTAAGTGCGACATGACAAAGTCTAATAGGCACAAAGAAAGGAGGACAGACATAACTACAAAAAAATTTAAACGTCTATATGCTAAAAGGCAAGGTAAGCGCAGTAAACATGAAAACAGGCTGAAGAAAATATTTCCTGTATGTAACAAAAACTTAAGAGTTGTCGAGGGTTTAGGAAATAATTGTTCTTAGCCATTATTTGCTAACTTTTTGGAAGTATCAACATTTTAAACGAATTTAAATGTTTTTCATCCGAGGAATGTGGTCTTCTACAATACTAGCAGAAGTCAGGCTATATCTAAAGGACACTCACTACGCTATTGCTAGTAATAAAAAAACATTACAAAATCTAAGTGTACATCAACAGAGGGACAGTTTAATACATACTGATACCGTCCGTATAGTCATTCAAAAACTGCAGGTATATCCGTAAGAATAAACATGGTAAGATGCCTATAAACTTGTAGGAAAAAAATATACAAAGCACCTTATTTTCTAAAAAGCAATGGTAGACCAACAACAATTGTGCATATGTAAAAAAAAAGTATAGAAAGTTTCAAACCAAACTGTTATGAATTATTGTTCCCAGTATAAGGAATTAGCAGGGGGTGGGGAGAGTGGGTTGGGCCTTTTTAACTTCTGCCAAGCAAATAACTGTATCAACAAAATATTGTCCTATGTCCTACACATAGGACAATTAAGGTTATAAAGTTATTTTTGAACCCATGTGTTTTAACATCTTATTTCATGACACAAATAGTTGCTTGAATAGCAAAAAATAACACTCAACCGTTTTGATTTCTGCATCCTCTTTGAAAGGAGAAAATGTATTTACCTTTAATAACTTCGACTACATTGCAGTTTGGGTTTATGCTTCCAATGTGTCTTTGATGAGAGGGATTTCCTTTGCCTTTTCCACCAAATAATAGAGCTATCAAACAAATAAAATAAGTTAAACTTAACCTAATGCTCTTTTCCAAATTTGAATACTGTTTCTTTAAATGGTTCCAAGTAGTGGCAAATATTTTCCTTAAGGATAAATACGGTATTTTACATTCAATAAAAATACCCTCTTTGTATGGAACGCTACTTTTCTTAATAAGCAAAAAAGTAGAACTAAATGTTCTGTCCAAAGGGAAGCTTCCTAAATAAACTTAAAATATACCCACATTTTATTTAGCTGCTCCTCTTTGCTCTGGACACTTACAGTGCTGATTGAGTAACATTCTAATTGAAATGCGACTCATGTAGAATCGATCCAGAAAGTATTGAACATTCTGACTGGTGACAGGATCCACCCCGAAGCTCTCCTTGTATTCGATCACACCCTGGGCCATGGTGGGAATGACATCATTGTGTCGGTTTCGGATCCGTATCACAGTATCTGTAAAGCTAAACAAACCCGTCTGTCAAAACCGCCAAACAGTCTGACAAGTAAATTGAATACTACAATTTAAGTGTAACCAACTAGAGTAGGCAAAAAATCCCTCATTTAGTAATAGGAGTACCAGTGTATGTTTTCCTGCACTTAATTTAAATATTTTGCAGATAACAATATGTGCTGAATCCATGAAGGTGTATGGATCTCGAAAATAAAACTTTTGAAACGAAATTATTTTCTTGGATTTCTAAGAGTTAGGATACCACAAAACAATTCTAAAAATGTTAATGGTTTTCTTTAACTGTTATCAATGAAGGGCATCTGAGCTCTCCCTAGGAGGATGGAATTTGGGACATTCTGCGTAAAAGAAGACAGAGTGCTTGCTTCTAGGAAACACATGCTCTGGAAGGCATCAAGATGAATAAGCCGGCTCGGCGCCTATAGCTCAACCGGCTAAGGCGCCAGCCACGTACACCTAAGGTGGCGGGTTCGAATCCCGAGCCCGGACCCGCCAAACAACAATGATGGCTGCAACCAAAAAATAGCCGGGCGTTGTGGCGGGCGCCTGTGGTCCCAGCTACTTGGGAGGCGGAGGCAGGAGACTCGCTTGAGCCCAGGAGTTGGAGGTTGCTGTGAGCATGATGCCATGGCACTCTACCCAGGGGGACAGCTTGAGGCTCTGTCTCAAAAAAAAAAAAAAAAGATGAATAAGCCAATAGAGCCCGTCTGTTGTGAAACTATTCCCTAAGGTTCAAAGACAGAAAGAACCACTTTGAATAGAAAAAGAACAAAGAATTCTAATCTCGTCCATCCTATGAGTTTTTCTTTAAAATCAGAAAAAAATCAGATAATCTTGACAACATTTTCAGAGGGCAACAATCAGCTACAGCTGAGGGTGGCTGTCCTTTAGGAGTACATACTCCCCAGGTTAACAGTCCAAATGGCACTGCGGCCACATCTGGACTTCTGCTGGTCATCACACTTGAACTCTGCCTTTTATTATAGTACAGAGGAACATGAAGCATTTCTTATACCCTGTTCAATTTACTGATTTACATCATCTGCCTTGCCTGCGTGGGCTGCTATAGAGATATAGTACATGACCACAGTTCCAATAGTGGGAACATAAACATTAATCGATTTCCCTAAAGTGACCCAACAGCACGTTTAAGCTGAAGACATTTTCATATGATGTTTGAAGGATATAAAAATTGCACTCAGATGGGGCCAAAATCGTGAACTTACTCATACACGGCTTTAGCATCCTCAGCACTTCTGTCCTTAAAATCAAGAAGCTCCTGAAGACTCTGGATATACCTAAAATGCAGATTAATATGGTAAATCATAGGGTTCTTTTATATTCTGAAAGTTCAGCATTGTGAAAATTAGCTCAAAGGCTATTTCTAACATTTTATAATTTTTTTTTTTGAGATATTATCTCACTCTGTCATCTTGAGTAGAGTACCGTGGCATCACACCTCACAGCAACCTCAAACTCTGGGGGCTCAAAAGATCCTCTTGCCTCAGCCTCCTAAGCAGCTGGGACTACAGGCACCTGCCACAATGCCTGGTTAGCTTTTCTATCATTTTATAATTTATTTTATTTATTTATTTTTGAGACAGAGCCTTAAGCTGTCGTCCTGGGTAGAGTGTTGTAGCATCACAGCTCAGAGCAACCTCCAACTCCTGGGCTCAAGCCAGTCTCCTGCCTCCGCCTCCCAAATAGCTGGGACTACAGGTGTCTGCTACAACCCTTGGCTAGTTTTTGGTTGCAGCTGTCGTTGTTCAGCGGACCCGGGTTGGATTCGAATCCACCAGCTCAAGTGTGTATGGCCGATGTCTTAGCCGCTTGAGCCACAGGTGCCGAGCCATTTTATAATTTTTAATTTAGAACACTGCTATAAATTCTGGTTGGAATAGAAATTTTATGCCCATTCACATTTGAATAAAGTGCTGGGAATAAAGTATTAGAAGATACATATTTTCTCCCAAAAACATACACCAAATGTGGTTTAAAAACTTTTAAATTCCTACTCCTTTTTAAGTTCTATGCTCTAAAATAGCTTTTAAATTTCCAGTACAAATACTGATTATCATAAGGACTGAATCCATCAACAACAACTATGTGATCTTGGGGCAAAACCCTTACCTTAGTATCAGTAAAATTAGGCCATAGTATATTGATTGCTTTAAGATCAAAATTAAATGTCTACATTTTAAAACCCTAATATTAGACATTTATATCTAGTCAACAAATCTTTACTGAAAGCCTACATTTTAATACAGTGTTCTTTTAAGCATAACTGAACAAAAAACATAAACGTCATGAACATGTAGGTTTTTGATTTAACAATTAAAAGTAGCAAAGCACCTGTTAAGGAATGAGCAAAATGAAGAAGGCCAAATGTTGTCTCATGGTCACGCAGCCAAGTACAATGGCACTGCAAGGCCAGAGCTAAAAATATCTTGCTACCTTTCAATTACTTTTTTTAACAGTGTAACATCTGCTTGTCTTGTCTGCTTGTCTTGTCTTGTCTGTAAGTACTTTATCTACAACTGCCCTAACTTAGCAGACTTCCAGAAGCAATAAAAGTGTTTTAAATATCCGTAAATCCATGTTGGTTTGACAAGCAATATTCCTCACTGCATTCCTAAGTCAAGTGCTTCTGATAGCTGCTGTTGCTTTAATCCTGAATTTTCTCTCACTGGCAAGAAAAACAGTGCTCTTTATTCAAGAGGTATCTGACCAGGATGAGCACAATAGCAAGACCCCATTTCTAAAAAAAAAAAAAAAGAAAAGAAAATTTTTAAATAGTTAGGCATGGTAAATATGTGCCTGCAGTCCCAGCTACTCAGAAGGCTGAGCCAGGAGGATCTCTTGAGCCCAGGAGTTGGAGTTTACAGTGTGCTATGATCCTCCTCTGCACTCTAGCCTGGGAAACACAGCAAGACTATAGTTGGAAAAAAAAAAAAAAA